AAGAAAAATAATAGTAAAAAAAATAAATCTTTAAAAATCTCTGCATTAAAAAATAAAAAGACACCGTTAATAAACTTAAGCCACAGATAGAAAGAAGATATAATATGTATGACAAGCAAAAGACTAGTATTCAAAATATATTATAAGTTCTTCAAATTAAGAACTAAATTTTAAATATAGACAAAAACAACATACACTTCACCAAAAATATGAAAAAATGACCAAAAAGATGAAAAGATCCTTGACATTGGGTCAGCAGGTGGCATGGCGGGTAAGGCGGCTAGATCCCATATGACTCACTGTACAATTCAAATCCCAGACCTCTGACTTGAAAAACATGCCAGATGTGTATGCGTGTGTGCCTAAAACCCTGAAAGGAAAGTGGAGGAGAAGAGAATGTGGCATGGTCATCCCCCTGGGGGGATTTCTCCCTTTCTCTCTTTCTTCCTTGCAAGTGCTTATGCCCTGAAGCAAAACGGAAAAAGAAAAGATCCTCAACATCTTTATCCATAGGAAAATACAAATTAAAACTACAACAGGATTCACCTAAGGCAGAGGTAGTATTGTAAAAGAGTACTGGATGGTTAAATGAGGGAATCTGGGTTTTTGTCATGCCATGATCTTGACCCCCGCTCCCCAGAACAGAACAAGCTATGCACTAAGTACAAAGGCTTCTTTATTCTTTTTTCCTTGCACTAACATTCTAGGATTCTAATTTATGCCACAGCATCTATGGCAATGAGAATCCTGTTGGTGGCTTCTACACAAAGATTTCTCTTTGGAGGAAGCAGGGAACTTTTTGCATAATGAATCTGAAAATAATAGACAAAATCATGCCAGGAAAGAGAGTTCCTAAATTAAACTGTCCTAAGAAATGAAGTATCATTTTTTCCCTGAAGACTTCACTAATTAATATATTTTCCTCTTCGTTTGAATAACACCTAATCTGAAAATATAAAGGGGTTGATTCATTTTCACTGTGTTTTACCTCTTTCCTGGAAATACGAAAATTACTTTTTATTATGTGGAATTTGGCTTAAAGCACTACAGTGTCAGGTCTAGTGCCATAGTCTCAGAGGTCTTATAAATATTATGACTTGAAAGTAGGAGAAAGAACTGAGAATATTTAGCTTGGAAAAGAGAAGACTCTCCTTCTCTTGATCCCTATTTGTAGTTGTAGAATAATTAAAGGGATGTAATGTAGAAGAATAGACATTAAATTTATTCTGTGTGGTCCCCAGAGCACAATTCAGACCCATGGATATAGGCTATAGGCAAGTCTGTTTCTACTCAAACAACAGTAGATTTCTTTGGAAATGAAATGAGCAGTGAGTGAGTTCTAGATCCCTGGAGGTATCAAGAAGATAGACATTTCTTTTAAGACCATTGTAGAAGATACTCATGGACCCAGTTGAACTCGATGGGCTGTTCTAAATTTCCTCCTGGGCCCTTGGTGTTTCAGGCACATCAAGTAACTGTGATGGAAAGGTTGGATGTTGGGTCTCCATAGGATCACTGCGCTGGCTGCCTGCAGCCAGGACATACTCTTCCAACAGCTAGTTAGATGTCACTCAGATACACAGAGTAACTTTTGGAAATGAGATTATACTAACACATTATAATGTGTTCCCTGAGTGGCTTTGATTTTCGAAAGTAGCCAAAAGTCTAGTCTATCTGGAATCAGCACATAAGACAATACAAATAATAATAATTTTTTAAAAGCCCAACAACATAGGTGTGGCTGCAGAGGGATGAAGCTGACTTTCTTGGCATGCCACTAAGTTCGATATGAAATACAAGAGGTTTCCCCAAAGTGGCACTTTGAAAATGTGCACAGCCACAGTAGCAGTGGGGAAGTTGCCCTTGTGAGTATATAAACTCTGAAGTGACTTTTTGAAGATCCATCTCACACTTTACAGCTGTAATGTTCATCCTGGGTAGGCAAGGGATTGCCATGTGTATTTGATTTTTTGTGATAAGGCATGTCTGAGGCTGATAGAAGCTCACCCTCCCTAGAGAACTGAAGTCTTCTACAGTCCCAGCAGGGGCTGCTCTGCCTGGCACCTGGGTGCTTTGGCTGTCTCACTTTATCTACCTTGCCTTTATGATTTTGCTCCCCCAGGACTCATCTACCTGCTGGCACAGCAACATGGCACCCCAGAAGGGCTCTACCTGTTTGGCACATGTTCACAGCTCGACAGCTGCTGGAGATGGCCACCTCCAAACCCATGGGGTTAACTACCTGCTTTGTGGGATTTGAGCCCCTCCTGTTAAGGAAGAACAGAGCCTAGCTGTCCTTTAGGAGAGACCTAACATATTTTAAACTCTTCTGTAAGAGTGAGCCTACTGAGATATCCTGATCCACATTTATATAATGAATGAGGATAGAGCCTTCCCTTAACAGCAGACTTTGTAAATGGAAAGAGACCATTAGGTGGGGAGAAAGGCTCTTTCCTTTCCGTCTGGCGGCAGCCATCAAGTAAGCCAAGATGGGCGCGTACAAGTATATCCAGGAGCTGTGGTGGAAGAAGCAGTCCGACATGATGCGCTTTCTCCTGCGGGTCCACTGCTGGCAGTACTGCCCCGGGCGCCCTGCCCCACCAGGCCGGATAAAGCACACGGACTGGACTACAAGGCAAAGCAAGGTTATGTGATATACGGGATTCATGTGCAGCATGGAGGCCGCAAACGCCCAGTCCCCAAGGGTGCAACGTATGGCAAGCCTGTGCATCATGGTGTTAAACAGCTCAAGTTTGCTCGGAGCCTCCGGTCTGTTGCAGGGGAGCGAGCTGGACGCCACTGTGGGGCTCTTAGAGTCCTGAATTCTTACTGGGTGGGTGAAGATTCCACATACAAATTCTTCAAGATTATCCTATTGATCCATTCCATTAAGCAATCAGAAGAAACCCTGACACCCAGTGGATTACCAAGACAGTCCACAAGCACAGGGAGATGCGTGGGCTGACATCCGCAGGCTGCAAAAGCCAAGGCCTTGGAAAGGGCCACAAGTTCCACCACACTATTGGTGGCTCTCGCTGTGCAGCTTGGAGAAGGCGCAATACTCTCCAGCTCCACCGTTACTACCGTTACTGCTGATCTAAGAAATGTTTGTAAAATTCATACCTAATAAACGATTTAGAACAGTCAAAAAAAAAAAAAAAGAGAAAGAGACCATTAGGCCAGATGACAGGATTGCTGAAGAGACTGGAGAAGTGACCAGCCAATGAAGACAAACATCAGGGATGACATCACAGCTTTCTTTCAAGTTGGTTCTGCAAGTCTGCAGTGGGCAGCTTTATCGTGGAGCACCCAGGACTTTCTTTTACTGGTTAGAGATCCCAGGGTTGGACAAGAACACAAGAGGTGTGCTAGCTATCTTCAATCAGCATGGTTGTGAGGTCATTAGAATTCACGTGGTTAACTAGGGTCTCTCATCCACTGCATCGCTAACTCACAGGAGGCCAGTGGTGATCAGGGCAGCTGCTAGGCCCAAGACAGAGGAGACAGACCATACCTCCTTGTTCCAAGTCTTTTCTACTCCACCTCCACCTGATATCTCATGTGCCTGATGAGATATACGGTCAAGAATTCATTTACATATTCACCAGATACTCACCAAGTGCATAAGGTATACAGCGATAAGCGAAGCAGATAGGCCCCCTGCCTATGGGAGAGGGTCCCTTTCCACACAGAGCCTGGGTTCCTCCACAGTCTTCCTTTTTCCTGGGATGTCTCTAGGGTCTGTTTGCCCTTTGCTGATGTCTTAGCCCTCTTCTTAAGGTCTTCCTACTTACTCGCATCCTTTTCTGTAAATTTGAGATACAGCTCCTGGATCTTAGGAGCCACCTTGTAATCCTTTCCCGGGCTCACAAAATCCCGGCAGGGTCTCTCCCAAAACCCAGGGGAGGTCTGGCTTCCCCAGCCACAACTTAGTGGTTGTGATTACTGTGAGTTTTGCATTTTGAATGTCTAGTTGGTTTAAATTAGTAAAACCAAGTTCAGATTCTAAGAGAATTATGCATAATCCTGATGGGTGATGGGAAAGCAAAACCAAGCCCCAGCTGGGCTCTGGCTGAGTTGGTGACTCCCAGGCCACCCGTGAGGGTTGGGGTTTTGGACCTAAACCCTGAAGATGATACTGCTTGGCTGACTGAGTGCTGTGTCAGCATGAACGATCCTGACCAGTGGTGGCGGGCAGCGACTATGCCAGGCACGCTTCCCCCCCCCCCAGTTCACAGGGCAGTAGCCTAAAGCTGTTGGGGGCTGGGGAGGGTGGTGGTGGGAGAGGAGGTGACTCTGTCCCTGGAGGCCACCTGACAGCTGGCGGCATGGTGGGAAGCCAGCTCGCCCTTGCCCTCAATCTGTGCCAGGGTTCTGGAGCCTGGCTGGCACTTCCTGAGAGCAAAGCGAAGCCGGAGAGTGATGGCATGGGAACTTCCTAGAAAAACAGAATTTCAGGTTGGGGAGGTTTAGGGAGAGCAGAACACGAGAGGGAGGGAGCGCTCCCCCACAGGGACTGGAGCCGGCGCTGCCCTGAGCCGGAGAATCTCCAAAGCGTGGGTACACTACATGCCCACGTGTGTGCTTGTGTCAGGAAGCGAGAGCTCGGACTGAGAGAGGGGGTCAGCGGCAGAGCCAGGAGACGCAGAGGGGCCGCAGGCAGAGCTCCAGCTAGCGCGCTGCCTGGGCACAGAGCCCAGGGGCCGCCCACTGGCGGGAGAACCGGGGAGCGCAGGGGAGGCGACC